AGATTACAATAAGTTTTGTACCTGATACAATAATCTCCTTGTGTGTGTGTGTGCCAATGAAATAATTATTCTTTCTGTGCCAAAATGCATGGAACTATTGTGTGTGTGCACCAGATGAAAGCACAGAACTGACATGAACTGAATGCAAAAAGAAAAAAAAAGGAAAATTTTCTGCATCAAAACAAGGCACACCACCACTAAAAGCTAGATTTGACATGCACCTAATGCATTAAACGATTTTATTTCACCAAAGGTTACAAGACCTGCAAGATATCATGCAAACAAGTGCTCGAGGACATTAGCATCTATACACCAGGAATAGACTAGAGCAAGATCCACACCCAGACATTCAGTAATGAGCCGCAAAGACCTCATGAAGCCAGATTCAGATCAAGATTACAACAAACTGACCAAGCTGGCTCGAGCAGTCAGCAGTTTTCATGCTTCTATCGCTCATCTTTCTTCCTCAGGATAGTGAATGTGCCTTTCAGATCTCATCTTTCTGCAATTCATTAGAGAAGTGCTAAGACTAGGATACATGAATATAGACAGACTTATTAAGTCACCGGTAAGATGAAACACACACACACACATCCGTGCATCAAGCCTTATAGCCTTCACCATCTACTGCATGAGAGACAAAGCAGTCTAATATCGTTCTCTAAAGCCGGTCCACTTTCCTGTCGTATCAAAGACTTACTGGAAGAACAGCATGTCAGATGTTAAATGCACATCGGCGAGAAGAAAGCTTGATGACGTCATTAAGTGTCAGAGCACTCAGATCAGAATTATGGCACTGAAACATAAAAGCAAACAACTCATTGCTAGTCTCATTTAAAAAACACACTCAATAGTAGCCTGTTGTGATTGATGTTCCTTCTTTTTTTATCTGAATACTAGAATATTGGGAAACAATCATTTTTCTAAGCATCACTGTTTCTTTTGCTCATCATTAGCTGCAAGTTTAGGTGTGTTCACTTTCTTTTGACCCTTTTATGTATTTACAGCCGACAGAACATCATTGAGACTTGTAGATGGGCTCATTTAATTTTGGGACTGCAGGTAAACACCTGGCAACCGCTCGGAATGTCTTAGCAACTGCACAGCAACACAGAGGTCATTTACAGTTTTTAGAAAAACACATCGCATTAGCTGTGTGTGCACCAACCAACAGCAAAAACATTTCTGTGGATCAACACAAGATGCAAATATCTGTCTGTTGCACATCAAACTTGCTCAATAAATATGCTTCAAATGATATTACTTCTTTTTTGTTCACTAAATTGCATACATGGTCTGTGCACTGAATGCAATGAATTATTTCTGTGCATTGGCTGATTAGTTTTTGCGCCTCAAATGCAATGAATCATTTTTGTGCCTCAGATAAAGAGTCGTTTTTGTGCATCAAATGCAAGGAATCATTTTTGTGCATTAGATACAATGAATCGTTTTGTGCATCAAATACAATAAATCATTTTGTGCATCAGTTGCAATGAATCATTTTTGGGCATGAGATACAATAAGTCATTTTGGGCATTAGTTGCAATGAATCTTTTTTGTTTTTGTTTTTTGCCCTAAATGCAATGAATCGATTTTGTGCCTCAGATGCAATGAATTGTTTTTGTGCATCAAATAAAGAGTCATTTTTGTGCATCAAATGCAATGAATCATTTTTGTGCCTCAGATGCAATGAATCGTGTTTGTGCAGATCCAATGAATCCTTTTTGTGCGTCAAATGCAATGAATCATTTTTGTGCCCCAGATGCAATGAATCCTGTTTGTGCAGATGCAATTAATTATTTTTGTGCGTCAAATACAATGAATCATTTTGTGCATCAGTTGCAATTAATCATTTTTGTGCATTAGATACAATGAGTCATTTTGGGCATTAGTTGCAATTAATCTTTTTTTTTTGTTGTTTCTTGCCTTAAATGCAATGAATCGATTTTGTACCTCAGATGCAATGAATCGTTTTTGTGCATCTAACAAAGAGTAATTTTTGTGCATCAAATGCAACGAATCATTTTTGTGCCTCAGATGCAATGAATCGTGTTTGTGCAGATGCAATGAATCCTTTTTGTGCGTCAAATGCAATGAATCATTTTTGTGCCTCAGATGCAATGAATCCTGTTTGTGCAGATGCAATGAATCATTTTTGTGCGTCAAATGCAATGAATCATTTTGTGCATCAGTTGCAATTAATCTTTTTTTTGCCTTAAATTCAATGAATCGATTTTGTGCATCAGATACAATGAATCAAGTTTGTGCATCAGTTGCAATAAATAATTCTGGTGTATCTGATGCAATGAATCATTTTTGCACGTTAAATGCAATGAATCATTTTTGTGCCTCAGATGCAATTAATCGTGTTTGTGCAGATGCAATGAATCATTTTTGTGCGTCAAATGCAATGAATCATTTTTGTGCATCAGAAGCAATGAATCATTTTTTGTGTGTCAAATGCAATTAATTGCTTTTGTGCATCAGATGCAACCAATAATTTTTGTGCCTCAAATGCAATGAATCGTTTTTGTGCATCAGATAAATTTTATCATTTTTGTGTCTCAGATGCAATGAATCATTTTAGTGCATCAGATGCAATGCATAGTTTTTGCGCCTCAAATGCAATGAATCAATTTTGTGCATCAGATTAGGGCTGTGCAATTAATCGAAAATCCGATTTTAGCTTTTAACGATTATGAAAAACTATTATTCGAGATAAACGATTATAAACTTAGAGGCGCGAAAGACCGGCGTGCACACACATAAGCATGCGGTCAGCATTCAGTCTCATTCGCACACTGAGACGAGCAGAGCGCAGTCAGCACACACATCTGAAGTCATCTTAATGCGAACGCTTTAATGGTCAAATAGGTGTCAAAACGCGGTGTTTAGTGATTATTCATATTAACCCTCATTTGTGTAATAAACATACGAGTTGAGAATAAAAATACGTGAAAGAGAAACCATTTAAGCGCGTGACGTTCCTGCTGCCGCCTGTTTTTATCATTATTAATCAAACAACAAAACAAAAAAAATCCCTCACTGCTCTTGACTGAAGGACTTTTGTAGCTAAAGTGTTTTTCTTACAGTGAAGATGCTTAAAGCACAGTTTGTTTCATATTTTTATTCTATTGTATTTATTTCTCTTTCCTTTGCAGGGTGGAAAATAACTGTACTGCAGGCAATCAAAAATATTTATTGCTTAAGGGGGCCAATAATATTGACCTTAAAAAGGGTTTCAAAATATTTAAAATTGCTTTTATTCAAGCCAAAATTTAAAAAAAACAAATAAGCCTTTTTCCAGAAGAAAAAAAAACATTATAGGAAATACTGTTAAAATTCCTTGCTCTGTTAAACATGATTTGGGAAATATTTATTTCAAAAAAAAATTCTCAGGAGCGCTAATAATTTTGACTTCAACTGATAATCGTTTTGAATAATCGTGATTACAATTATGACCAAAATAACCGTGATTATGATTTTTCCCAAAATCGAGCAGCCCTATATCAGATGCAATTAATCTTTTTTGTGCTTTAAAATGCAATGAATCATTTTTGTGCCTCAGATGCAATGAATCGATTTTGTGCATCAAATGCAATGAATCGTTTTGCACCTCAAATGCAATGAATCATGTTTGTGCCTCAGATGCAATGAATCATTTTTGTGCCTCAGATGCAATGAATCATGTTTGTGAATCAAATGCAATGAATCGTTTTGCACCTCAGATGCAATGAATCATTTTTGTCCATCAGATACAATGAATCATGTTTGTGAATCAAATGCAATGAATCGTTTTGCACCTCAGATGCAATGAATCATTTTTGTCCATCAGATACAATGAATCATGTTTGTGAATCAAATGCAATGAATCGTTTTGCACCTCAGATGCAATGAATCATTTTTGTCCTTCAGATACAATGAATCATGTTTGTGCATTTTTGTGCCTCAGATGCTTCAACTGCATAAAATAATTTTAGTTTTTCCAAACGCAATAAATCTTTTAAGTGCTAAATTGAATGACCTCTCTTCAATGAGTGCGGTTGCCAATTGGTTGCCAAACTCCACAAATACTCTTGCTATCCTTTACTCACCCAGACCATTTTCTAAATATCAAAGATCATAACAGGCCAGCATGAGATATAAGCATGGCCAGACAGTTGGGAAATATTCTCTTAAATTTATTATTAAAAAAGCTGGCAGCTGTGGCTGGGTGTGCCCATGAACAACCTGATATCCCTCTGCTCTACATTTCACAGTTCCTTTCACAAATGACCAAATAAATGTGAAGGGAGAAGTGCAAAAATGATACACAACTGCTCTTTTCTCATCCACATCATGACCAAACATCACAGCACACAGAGATTTCGCATCTCTACATCACACTCTTTGTCTGAAGTGTTTCAACACAAGTGCTGCAACAGATATGAACCAGTTACAGTCTGTAATAACATGGCACAGAGATAGAGAGAGAGAGAGAAACTGGGTCAATGTCTCATATGGATTGCTCTAACAAGGACTTTTATAGCCTCACATCAAACATAAACATATCCAGCATGCACCTAAATCCAGAAAGCCATGCCATCTGGGAAAGTGGAGGGAAAAAGCACTGTTATCCCAGGAGAATCTGCCGTGGCTTGTTGTCATGCATTCTTGAATAATTGGAGACAGTGGCAAAATACTTCTGTGAAGAAGTCTTAACCTGCATAACATATAGGCTAAAACATCAAATAAAATGCATGAAGTAAACCTCATCTGCAGCCTTTCAGTGCATTGCAAAATATGAAGCTTTTTAGTGTTGAGAAAGCAATAAATGCATACAGTTCTGTGTGACTTTGGACTTAAACACTGATCTGAAGACGTTAAAAAGCCAACATCTGAAGACGATCTGATCTGAACGCACCGCCTGAATGATCCACTGCCGATATCTTCTTCAACAGTTCTGCACAAACTTGTATAACACCGCGCATTTGTATATGCAACTGCCTCAGGATGCTCACCTGTTCTCCGTGATAATGATCACTGGTGTCGATTTTAGTCTTCAGTCGCGATGAAACTACAGAAATGATCCAACGAGCCAACAAAACCTGAAGCTCCAGTCAGAACCGAGCAGTAGCTGATGTGAGAGCGACTGCTGCTCCTCACATACATTTATTAGAGCCTCAACTTCCGCGACAGTCACGTGCTTTCTGCTGCCGAACTACAACTGCTGGCGATTCTGATTCATTCCGTGAGACGAGTCATCTGAATCGATTCACCAAAATGACTCGTTCACTGATTGTCGTTTTAAAGTTTTGTTATTATTTTTTACTGTATAACATAAACAATAGCATACAAATATAGAGGAATACAATGCTATCATTTTTTCACATTGAAACCCAGGGGAAAAAATCACTTGAGAATTCAAAATAAATAAATAAATATATAGATTACAAGACATTCACATAAGAAAATGTTTTCAAAATCGCACACATATGAAACTATGCTCTTGGAACCATATTCATATTATTTAAAAAAACAAAGGAGACGCCTTTCAACAAATATGGATGTCTCCAATGAACCTCTGACTCTACGAACACTTCTGATGTATATTCATAATATGTGTGACCTTAATCACAACATAACTTTATTTGTGTATCATGATTTTGTTATCTGTTTGTATGTTAATTCATTTATTTATAATTATCTTTTCTTTATTTTTCTAAATTATCTTTTATTGTCTTTTGCTGCTATACTTGTCTACTGATACCCTTGCCTTTGTCCTTTTTTGTATATGTTTGTATGTTCATTAAAACCCCTAAACAAACAAACAAAAAATCGCTCACATCCTTAAAGCTTTTTTTATTTTTAAGATTTGTTAGGGTTTTAATAAACACATTTTAAACAAATTAATGTTAGTATTGGCATTGGATCATTTATGTTTGCATACATGGTATATAATCATTAAATTATTAATCAAACAATCAAGTTTTATTATTATTATTGTTGTATATCAAAAGAAACATCTTTACAAGAAAACAACATTTTAATTTTGTATGATAAATAAAAGTTATTTCAGATCATACCAGATATTATAGATCACACCAAATCATTCGACTGTCGTTTTTTAGAACATCGTCTATGGGATTTATTTCCTTTGTAAATTCTATATCTACAAATGCAAATTTACCAATAAGAAATCATATTTTCCAGTTTGTTATTTTTTGAGTTTAGTCATTGTTTAAATGCATGCATACATGCATACATACATACATACATACATACATGCATACATACATACATACATACATACATACATACATACATACATACATACATACATACATACATACATACATACATACATACATACATACATACATACATACATACATACATACATACATACATACATACATATATATATTTCCCAAATGATGTTTAACAGAGCAAAGAAATTTTCACAGTATGTCTGATAATATTTTTTCTTCTGGAGAAAGTTTTATTTGTTTTATTTCGAATAGAATAAAAGCAGTTTTAAATAACTTTTTTAAGGTCAACATTATTAGCCACTTTAAGCTAATTTTTTGGATAGTCTACAGAACAAACCATCAATATACAATAACTTGCCTAATTACCCTAACCTGCCTAGTTAACCTAATTAACCTAGTTAAGCCTTTATGTCACTTTAAGCTGTATTGAAAAAATAAAACAGTTATTAGAAATGAATTATTAAAACTATTATCTTCTCTAGAAATCTTCTCTCCTTAAAACAGAAAGTGGGGATAAAAGTAAACAGGGGGCTAATAATTCATTCATATATATATATATATATATATATATATATATATATATATATATATATATATATATATATATATATATATATACACACACACACACACACACACACACACACACACACTCTATATGTATATGTATATATATAGCTATATGTATATATAGCTAATGTAACTTGTAACTGACTGTAAAAAAAAAATTATGACAAAGAAAATCTCAATGAAGATGTTTATTCAGCGTAGCAGTCTCAAAATACACGACAGTACCTTGGGTTCTCCGGAGTCAAAATGAACCCTGAACATGCTTAGACTCAAACCTTTATACTGTTTTAGATGTTGCTTTTTAAACCTGCCTTTAGATGTTAATGAAGTTGCTCCTTGGCTGTTGACCCAGCTGTTCTCTCTGCAGTTTTAACGCCATTGATGAATTGGTTCTCTGTGCACCACACCCATCCCCATTCTACAATTGTTACCATTTGGTTGAGATGTAGTCGCCTCAGACAATGCAGAGACAACAAACTGTTGAATTCTCTTTTTTGCTCAGACGTCAGCCCTTTTCGGAAATGAGCATCAATTCACCATTTAGAGTGGAGGTTGGGTCAAGGCAGACTCATTTCTCACATGACTTTTACCCTCAAGTTTATATTCATGTTCTTTTTTTATTTTTTTACTCTCTATTTGTACCTTTTTTCCAAAGATGATGCATGTAATTGATATTTGGTGTATTATGTACAAATATTGTTTACACCCCAACCAGTAGCGGTTCTAGACCTGAGTAACTCGGGGGGGCACTTCTACTTTTAGGGGGCACACTTTAACATACATCACAAACTATTTAAACAATTATTCAGTCATTTTTTATGCATCACTCTGCAGTCTTCATAAACATTTATTCATTCATTTTCTTTTCGGCTAAGTCCCTTTATTAATCTGGGGTCACCACAGCAGAATGAACCACCAAATTATCCAGTATATGTTTTACGCATCGGATGACCTTTCAGCTCCAACCCATTACTGGTAACACCCATACACTTTGGACAATTTAACAAATTCACCTATAGCTAATATTTTTGGACTGTGGGGTAAACCGGAGCACCCAGAGGAAACCCACGGCAACATGGGGAGAACATGCAAACTCCACACAGAAATTCCAACTGACCCAGCCGGCACTCGAACCAGCGACCTTCTTGCTGTGAGGCGTTAGTGCTACCCACTGCACCACCGTGCTGCCCTGTCTTCATAAATAAGCTAATTAAATAACTTAAACTCGAAAATAATCTTCAGTGTTCATTTTTTTGACAAGTAACTTTGTATTGTAGGATAACACATTAACATTCAAGTACAGCAGGCACATTTTTACACCTGTAAACTTTAACAGATGCAGTTGAAGTCAATTTTTTTTCCCTCCCAATAATTTAAAATAAGGTTTCCCAAGTGATCTAAATCAAACCAAGGAGATTTTCACAGTATTTCCTATAAAACACAAATAATTAATCTGGAGTCATAATAAGTGTGATTTCTCATAGCTTATTTCTTGAATAAAAGCAGTTTAAAATTTTTTTAAAATACTATTTTAAGTCTGTGTTATTAGCTTCTTTAAGAGATAATTCAGCCTGATCTCACGAGAAAACGTAAGTATTTTACGTTTTGCCAGTTTAGTGGCTAATTCGTACGAATTCGTACGAGTTCAGTCGTACGAAATGGTACGATTTTAAAAAGGAGGCGTGGCACCTAACCCCACCCCTAACCCCAACCGTCATTGGGGGATAAGCAAATCGTACTAAATTGTACGAATTAGATCGTACGAATTCATACGAATTAGCCACTAAATGAAAAAGTTACGAATTGCCATGAGATTGTGTTGGATAATTACTGTATATTTTATTGATCATCTACACAACAATACAATAACTTGACTAATCATTCCAACTTTCCTAGTTAACATAACCTAATTAAGTCTTTAAATTACACTTTAATCTGAATCAAAGACTAAAGGGACTTTGTCTGTATACAACTATCTTGCTGAATAACTAGTAAAATATCATGCACTGTCACCATGGGAAAGGGAAAAAAGTTGTTATTAGTGGTTAGTTAAACTATTATGTTTAAAAACGTGTTGTAATAAATCAAGTCTTGATGACTCGTGCTTTATGTCACGACTGAAATCAAAAACGAATAAAGGCAAAACTAAACGAGTTGAATATGATTTACATGAGCGTGACTGAAAACTAAACTGGATCACTGTTTCATCTGTTCTCCTGTACTTGCCGTTTGTAAGTTCAAGACTGCATTTCCTAACGTAAAACTATGTACAGTCAATTTCTAAATAATAATAGCCTCTGCATAGCCGAGCACTTCCTATAATAAAAGTTTTGAAATCGCTATTGAAAACAGAATCCTAATTCTGAATTTGAGTTGAATGGTTTTGTTATCTGTGTCAATTTGGGGGTTAACTTCTGACAAATGCGGGGAACTGAAGTGCGCAGCACCGTCACTGACAGAGAGAGAGAGAGAGAAAAAGCGGGTGAAAGCAAAGAGAGCGAGTGCGCGCCATACGACTGCGCGCGACACTGAGATTTAGGGGGGCCAGAGGGGGGGGCCATGCTTGTTGACACGGGGGCACCGCCCCCCCCCAGAACCGCCACTGATCCCAACTCTGTATCCGATTTGCATTAATAAAAGAAGAAAAACTGCCACATGACAAGGAGAACAGGAATAAATCTTCAATGGAAAAAAGTATGGACTTTACTTTGCAAGGATCTGATTACCATTTAAGTAAAATAAGTATTTAAGTTAATTCACAAATGTTATCCAACTAGTAGACTTGTGTTTCTATCACTGACTGGAGTATGACTTCAGTATATTATCCATAAAACTGATGGTGTGAACTGTAGTGTATTATAATGCCACCGCTAGATCCTGACTCTTGAAAAAATGTAATATACTGTAAGTTGTGTGTCACAATCACCAGCGACCTCTAACCACCAGAGATCGCTGGAAAACATTCACTCTCATAGAACTACAAATATGCTTGTAAATGGACTACATATCCAGTCATGCCACACACACACCTGCTTCCTCATTTAGACTGATTACACTCTCACCACCTGAGGATCGTCAAAGACTGATTAAACACAGTATTTAAGCAGCACACACACTCATTCACATTGCCAAGTCTTGTTTACTATTAAGTGACATTAAAACGCATTCTCCTGGGGTCCGTTCTTTGTACGTGGATTACTCAATTAGCTGGATTTGGATATTGACGATTTGACACTATCCAGGATCGTTTCGTTCTTCAAAGCTGATCCGAGAGTTGTTGTCATAGCAACAGTTCTGCTAGCTCAAACCTGATCGGGAGCAGGTTCAATTCATATAAACAGGA